GCCCTGAGTCCCCTCAGGGAAAAGGGCGGCCTATAAATAAACACAACTACAACTACTAACTACTACTACTTGAAGACTCCCAATTTAATACAATTTAAAAAATGCAAATAATTTTTCTGCAGACCACCAAAATTTTCTCACAGACCACCAGTTGGTGACCACTGATCTAGGCTGTTCTAGTGGGATAGCTGTCTTTTCAAAGTCCCTACACCATTATGTTTGTAGTATCACAATAAGCCACAATATGGCTTGACTGTTTTTAAAAAAAATAAAATTGTTATTTTAATTCCAAACTTAAAATACAAAATCAAAAAGAAAGAGCGTTTACTTCCTAAATTGTAATCCTATACTCATATAGGGATGCTCCCAAAAATAACTTAATAGTTGTTCCACAAGGAAGTCATAATTCTGAAAAGCTGCTTTGATATGGCTGATAAAAAATGTCCTTACAAACGTTTGCCAAGACGTATTAACAGGCTCTTAAGATAAAATCTGTTATGAACCCAACATTCAATACAGTTGTTATTGTGGAAACAACTGCACCACATCCAACCAGCTTACATAAAGGTACTCTAGGCAACAAACCTAGAAACTCTAGTTACCATGAGCAATATTGATGACTTCTGTTTGAAATAAAAGCAGATTACCTTTCTGTATAGATCTGGCTAGAATCATTGTACTCTTAAGAGTATTTTGTAGACTTGTTAAACAATACCCAGAAGCAAGAAGTAAGTGGAGCTCTGCCATCCATTAAGCTGTCACTTAGTTTACAATTGCTGTTTGATAGGAGGAGGAACTTATTTTCTACCTGGGGACAAATAAGTGCCAGGTGAGATTGAGAAACTTGCCCCACCCAGTGACTCAGTTGTGGCCAACTGTATATACCTAGCCAGTAAACTAAGCTTCTGTTAGGAGTAAGGAAGGAAACAGGAGAGGAAGAAACACGGTTAAGAAATTGTGGATACCATCCTCCTGGAAATGCACAAAACAGAAGAAAGTTCCAGAGCAAAGTCTCCAGGGACAGGTTAGCATAATTTTGTCTCAATAATGTACCTACAGATCTTCAAAATGCTAGACGCAAGACCTGTAGCCCAAAGGAATCTGTTGCAGTTTCACTTTTCAGTATTGTTTACTATAACAGTAAGAACTTTCTAATGGAGCTTAGAATAGAATAGAATATAATCTTTATTGGCCAAGTGTGATTGGACACACAAGGAATTTGTCGGTACATAGGCTCTCAGTGTACATAAAAGATACATTCCTCATAGCTCCTATACCTACATGGACATATTCATGTCCGTTTCTTGGCAGCAATATGGAATTGCTGACAGCCTTGTGTGACTTTCCTTTTGCCTTTCCAATTTAGCTAATGGCTTTGAGTTGTCCTAGTGGTCTATTATCCAAGTGTTAGTTGACCTGCTTAGCCTTGCATAGATCAGCCACAGTTTGCTGGTTGTTGCTGGAGGTGTAGACATCTTCCAATATACTCTAATTTTGGATACCCAAAAGGGATGCCCCTTTGGGGGAAAAGTCAATCCCAGTGGATAGCTGTTGGGCAATTGCCCATGTTATTTCCCTTTAAAAAGCCCATGGCAGCTACATCTTCTGATATAGTGTTCAGTATGCTTCATCTCTTCCCCCCTCCTTTTTTGTTTGCAAACTTTTGACTGCTACAGAATGACAGAGGGGATGAAATATTGAAAACTATTGGCAGTTTCCTGTCAGTTTGAGATGGAATCAGAGGAAAAACATAACAAACGAATAATCTGACAATAGTTTAAAAACAAAGAAAAACTTAAGTTTCCACTTAAATTAAAAATGAAAAAAAAAAAAGGTAAATCACCACAGGGTCCACCGGCATGATGTGGGACTTATTTACTTGCCCTTCAGATGTTTTTGCCTCAAAAATGATGTGCTGCTCCAGGGCGCCAAAAGATTGCCTGCTTCTGAGATGAAAATAAGGATGCATTTGAATAAACAAGAGTAACGAAGAATATAACAAAATTCCATATTCTATTTTGACTTATTGAATATTAGTTACATAATGGTCAAAGTAACTACTACATTCTTGTCATTCAACTCAGGTCCTGAGTCAATTTATATGGACTCATCCATGCAATTTTCTTGGCAACAATAAAGGTAGTCCTTGAATTACAAATGTAACAGAGCCAGAAATTTCCATCATTAAGTCATGATGGTCAAGGCACATAGATATAAATTCTGTTCACATTCTAAACTTCTATATATGGTACTTTCTTTGTTCAATAAAATCAATCATATTTTTTTCAGTTATGACACACAAATCCTTGCCATAATTTGAGCACTTACACGATTTTTCTCCTGTGTGAGTTCTCTGTCTTATAAATAACACATTCCATCTAAACTGTATCTACACTGCAAGCATCCAGTGTGGCTTCCCTGAATAAATGAATCTGCAGATGAATTTTGCGCTCTGCCACAATCTGTTTCCCATTCTGAGCACTCATATGGTCTGACTTCCTTGATGCCTACCAAGTGTTGTGCTGAAACTGTCCCTTCCATGCATTTATATGGCCTCTTATGTGTCAATTCTGTGATGCACAATCCTTCCATATTCCAGGTGCTTATATGGATTTTCTTTTCTGTGAATTAGTTTTTGCCTAAAGTTTCCCATTATTTCATAAGGTATCCTCCATTCAGTCTGAATGAGTATAGGATTCTTTGATGTTTTGTAACGGATTATTTTTGACTGAAACTCTTTCCAGATTCTAAGCATTTCTACATTCTACAACTGTATCACATTTGTTTATGGTGTGAGATTTCCAACATGCATTATTTTACTTTCCATGTAAAATGTTCTCCATAGACTGTGTACCTGGTCTTGGTCTTGCTTTTATTTGTGCTTTTTTTTAAAAGTAATCTTTATTAGTTATACATTTTTAAAGAGTAAAACATACAAATACAAATACAATTTTAAACATACAACCCCCCCCCCCCCCCCGCGGTGACAGTCATTCACAGCCCAACTTTTTTTTTCCTTCCTCATTGTTAGGTCTCTAA